CAAGCGCCGCAGTGTTGGTAGCAGTTGCCGGGGCGTGCCGGGGCGGGGAGCGGCAGTGATAATAGAAATGGTAAATGGTTGGTGCGAGTGTGTTGGCAGCACCGCTATCTAGGCTCGAGGTGGTGAATCACAGCCAATGGCCCGGCGCAGCGCGGCGGGGCGCGGTGGCGGGGCGTGGTGGCGGGGCTTCGGCCATTCATTGGTCTTGTCAGCGCCCGGCCGGGTCTTTGCATGGGATGCAGCCCGGCGTGCATCCCCCAGGAGTAACGGCGTCCAGCCACGCGAGCGGCCGGCCGCCCCGGTGCCACGCCACGCCCAGCCTCGCCTGCATTATTCAATTACGGGCGATCGATGAAATTATTGTTTCCATTTTCGAGATGATTCGCGCCCCTCGCAGGTGTTGTCCGAGTCACCCAACTCGTAACTGACGAGGAAAAGATGTGGGGGGGGGGGGCTAGAAGGAAAAACGGATTTCGTGTAAAATGAGCGTATAAAGTAAGTGAGGATTTTATTGAGGATTTGCATGAAAGGGCTATGAAGCACCCCCACTTCAATACAATCCCACTCTGTACAACGAGGGAGAGACAGACAGGCAGGGAAAGGGAGGAAAAAAGGGCCCGGGCGGTGGAGCAAAGGTCATACCGTTGGTTCAAATCCCAGTGTGCAAATTCTTGCCTCATTTTCCTGTCTGCCCTCGTTGGGCGCCACCTCTGCTTCCTGATGACAGTGGGGCCCCAGGTCAGGGGTCCTCCCTCTCTCGTTCGTGCCCTGGGGCCCCGGGCCCTGCGCTCGCACAGGGACGTTATCCCTCCCCCCCTTCCCGCTACACGCGCCGCTGGTTTTCTCATCATAATTGGCGACCTCGGGTGGAAGGGGAATTCACAATCTGTGTCAGTGGTAGAGGTTATCCTTCTCAAATCAATGAATGACAACTATTTTATTTTCTAAGAAAATATTCTAATATCTGAAGGTACGAGAAGTATCTAGTACAGTTTTTATTCCTTTGTAGATAGTTCTGCTAAATTCAACTTCTTTTGAATCTTACTTGAGATCCGACTGCTCTGTATCTGATGGTGGGAGGTGGTGTACGAAGCCGTGCAGAAAGGGGGCTGCCGCTGTAGTGCACTGTCAGGCCGTGTTGGGTCGGGTGTGGCGGCGTGGCTCGGGGAGGCGGGCGGCGGTGCAGCGAGCCAATTCCATTCCACCAATCATGCCATGTAGATCACATTAGGCGCCAGGCGATATATTCCGTGCGGCGGTGCAACTGCAGCTCTTATTTCCTCATACTCCTTATTCTCCATTCAGTTTCGAATTGCACTCCTGTTCTTGCCCGCCTGCTCACTTGGCCTCTCCCCCCAGACAAAGGAAACACCATCTCGGGCTCAGGACTTGACAACACCTCGTCTTTACTTCAGTCTGTTGTAGGTTTTCTTAAAGTCGACTTTTTCATTTTCTGTTCGGGCAATATTATCCGAGGAAATATCTTTTCTCAGTGCCTGTATTCGGACTTGTCGAGCACCGCAAAACACTACACGCTAACGATTTGGACCCAAGATTTCGTGGGGCGAGAAACAGTTCCTTTTCGTTTTGAACGTTTGAGTCATTCACGTGCTCTTGTAGTCCCGGTATTTCTGGAACAGGTCTAGCCAGAACGGTGAGCTTTTGCCGACAATAGGCTCTTCTCTCACGGTCAGGTTCTCGGCGATGTTCAAGAAGATGGTGTCGCCGGGTTTTCTGCGGAACTCGTTGGGGATCCACGAGCCTCTGTTCTCCCAATCTTCGGGGTGCCTACACCAAGATAAATAAATTCATGAACATGATTGTGTGTGAGAGATAAAAGCGGCGGCGGAAGCGGAGGTGCTCACTCACCCGTGCTTGATGAACGTCGTCCATATGTCGACCATGCGCCGCAAGGTGAGCGAGGAAAGATCGTCACCCTCGATATCTTGCTGTAACCTGTTCATCTTCCACAAGTAGCCAAGCTCGTCCGAGTGCACCGCCCCGCCTGCTGCCTGCGCTGGGTCCAACAAGGGCGAGGTGCTGTAGTTGGCCCGGACAGCGAAGCGGTACACGAAGGTCGGGGCAGATAAGCGGTCAGTGCGCACCCTTAGCTCAGCCAGGCGGTTGGTGTCAATGCCTATGGTTACATGGTCGAGGTACTGCACAGCACAGGAAGTTGAGGATGTCATTGGAGCAAACTTTGTCAAAGACAGTCAAGTTCAGCTGTTCAAAACCATTTACTATACCTCCTTAAAAACGCATATGTCGTCGCAGTCTGTGGCATTGTCTTTGAAAAACTGTTGGTACACGGCGTCCACTGCTTGTTCAAGGGTGAACGCATTGTTCAGGTTGAGGTACCTGGCAGTGTCGTGGCCTGCTACTACACTCTTTGGGAAGGCGGTAACAAGGTTTTTAATCCTCTTGCGCATGTAATCAGGGTGGGCGGCCCATCCTGTGGTGTCAAAAAGGCAACAAAAACGAATTGTCAAAATAAGTATAATTGCTCACACTTAATGTTTCTTCTTAGTGAGGCTGACCGTGGAGGTAAATGCTAGCGAGCCACTCCCGCGAGTTCATGCCCATCAGCATGCGAATTGGGTTTGTGCCCATCGAGTCCGTCAGGATGTATGATTCAGGGTCCCCCCTGATGAGCGGCTCTTGCCTTGAAGCGAGTGGGTTCCTTCGTTCTGGCGAGGTGGCAAAGGGGATCTGTGTCGCATTGGCCTGGAAGCGATAAAGGTTTTGGACTTATTCAACATTGAATCGCATTGAACCGCAGTTTTACAAGGAGCCGTGTTACCATCCGTTGGTGAGAAATACCTACATACATGCGCTCGTTCGCCAACGACATTGCGGCAGCCAGGATGTCCATGGCGGGGAGCTCCATGACCAGGTGCGCCACGTCCTGCAGACTCACGGTGCTGCCGTTAGTAAGGCGGGACCCCAAGTCCAGTGCCACGTCAAAGTTGTCCTCGTTGTACGCCCAGCTGTGGAGTGCCGACCCGCTTTCCAGTATGACGCCATTTGTGAGGACTGTGATCGATGGTGAATCAGGGTGCTGTTGTGTCAAGTTGTACAAAACGTAGCAAGAAGCTAAGAAACGATAAGTGTTTTGTGCTTGTCTCACGTTTTGGGCCAGACAAAAGCGAAAGCCAGTGCGCAGAGGCCGCGCCAGCGGACTGCCCCCCTACAGTGATGGAGTGTGGGTCCCCGCCGAACTTGTGGATGTTTCGGCTCACCCACTGGAGGGCGGCGACCTGGTCCTTAATACCAGCGTTCCCGGGCACGGCGTCATTGTCCAGATTGAGGAAGCCTGCGCACAGTGAAGAGACACGGCCATCAAAACCAACGTTCGTCTTAACAGGCGGTGGCCAAGATGGCAAGGTGTACATACCGAATGCGTTTAGTCGGTAGTTGATTGTGACCACTACTACATCCTTAAGCATAAAGAAATCCGGGCCGTAGACAGTGTGTGACCCTGAGCCGTACAGAAACGAACCTCCGTGAATGAAGAAGTACACGGGAAGCCAAGTAGACGACTGCTAAAACAAAATTAAACCATGAAACTGGATCAAAAAGCATGTTTTAAAAGATGCATCCATTAAACCACAAACGTTCGTTGATCAACTCACGCTGTTTTGCGGATGATACACGTTGAGGTACAGGCAGTCCTCAGACCCAATAATCTTTTTACTTAAGAGTTCCTGCTGTAGGCACGCAGATCCCTCCTTGGTGGCATCCCGCACTTCGAACCACGAGGCAGGTGGCAGTGGTGCCTTGATAAAAAAGCGTTGGCCTTTACTTTTAGTCACAACTATCGCGTGAGGATCTTGCGGAAACTCAATCATTATGCAGAGCCCTCTTACCTTGAACCGCAACTGTCCAACCGGCGGCTGGGCGTACGGAATTCCTCGAAAAGCCGCAAAACTTTTATTGTATTTGGGAATATTCACCCACTCTCCTCTCAGAGTACCCTCACCCACCGTGACTTCGGGTGGTACAGAAGTCGGCGTTCTGAAATAGAAAAAACATTAAAACACTGCCAAGGCATTGATCGGAAGGCACTGGTTTTTCGAAACTAGTTTAAATTAAAATGGAGTTTTCAACTTTATGTTGAGAATTGAGAAGTTTAAACAATTCTTGTGTGTTTAACTTTCTAGTATAACCCTTGCACAGTACTCGAATTTACACTCAAACACCTACAGTGTTTAACACTCGCAAGTGTTTGCCAATTACACACTGTAGATATAAACATCGACATCAGATGGTAAAAAACTAGATTTTCTATGCAGTGTCACTCCGATGGCTTCGTAATCTTTCTGTGAAAAAAGTAGAAGTTGAGTTGAGAGAGCCCCCTATCTCTATTCCACGAACATTTTCGACCATTTGGCTAAGTAAGCTAAGCAACCTCAGCTAGGAATGAACCTTCCGTCAACGTCGATCCAATGTCGATTCTACCTCTATAGCTAAATTTGAGTGACGAATCACATTTTTCGAGCAATTGACTTCCAATCAACGTTGATCAACTTCCATTTTTAGCTGGGAGCCCGCTATATGCAGTTTAATAAGAAGCTTTAAAAACGCCTTTAACCCTCAAGAAATATTTTCATTTTAATTAAAAATTATTACTAGAACATTTTTCTTAAAACATTTTTCGAAAAATTTGTGATGTAATCTAATCCGACGTACTTATTGTCTTTTGCACGAAGAACGAAGTAAATTCCTACTGCACCTGCTGCTAAGACGGCCACCATAACAACGACCCCGCCGGCGATCCTCACTAGTAAACAAGAGAAGTTGTTAACTCGTGGATATTTTGAGCTCGGATCAATGAAAGATTGAGGTAGTTGATTTTACATCTAATCGTCGCTAATGGTTACCCACGTCGTTACCTACCTAGTCTTCTCAACTGCAGAGGCGTCATGTTGGGTCAGTGGACTCCGTCAGACTGGGCTGCTGTCCGGTCGAGGGACAGGTGCGAAGGCCGGTTATATATCAGCCTGCTATCGAAACTCGAAAGCCCTCGACTCACATCCCGGATGCGCGGCTCCTCTACTCGGGTCGTGACGGACGGACGATGGACGATGACACGCTACACGTCGTTAGAGAAAGGGCTAATAGTATAGAAGAGTGACTCAGAGCCGATGAGTCACTCTTCTATACCATTGGAAAGGGCTTTTTGAGTATAATCCGGAACACTTTCAATTGATTGGCGCTCGAGTCTGGTTTTCCAGAAAATTACATAAATATACGTCGCCGCTAACCGTCAGACTGACTTTGAAGACGAAAGAATAACTTACGTTTACGGCAAGTCCTGACAGTGACATTAATTTTCTGAAAAACCAGATTCGAGCGCCAATAAATAGAAAGTGTTCCGGATTATACTCATAAAGCCCTTTCCAATGGTATAGAAGAGTGACTCATCGGCTCTGAGTCACTCTTCTATACTACTACCGAGAAGGGTGAAGCAAAAGACACCAGCAATAAAGAGTGGCATCACACGTTTCGAAAGACGGTAACACGACGGCTTCTTTTTCAACGGTCGTCTTGAAAATCATGGCGGTTGTTTTCTCCGTGAAAGCGCCCCCAAAATAAGCCTCTCTAGTGTAACTTGGGTACGGTTGGGCAGACGGTACGTTGGGTTGAGTCCATTGTTTTCACACCACGAACCCATACTACTATGAAATAGCAGATTCTCAAATTGTAGAGAGATGTGTTGTCATTTCAGTGAAACCTACTTTAGTTTACGAACCGGCATTACCGCGGTATAGCGCGGCGTATAGCGCTTTCTCGCTCGTGAGAACTTTTAAATACGTAGCTGTCCTCTGCTGCTCTGCACCAGGCGGCGTGCAACAGGGCCCCGGGGACCAGAGAGAGAGAGAGAGAGAGAAAGGTCTGAGGGAGGAAGTGTGTGAGTGTGTGAGAGGAGGGAAGTGTGTTGGGAAGGCGTGCGCGTCAGGCATCGCGGCGCGGTAACTTTTCAGGATGAGTAAGTTTGAAACTTAATCAGAGCAAACAATGGCAGAGAGCGTGTTTCTCAGTCTGAGCAGTAGCGGCGGTGGCAGCCAGACGGCCCGGGTGCGCGCTGTGGCGGGCGGAGGTGGTGGTGACGCCCCTGGCCGTTTTCAAACGGAGTTGCCACGCGCAACTATACGGAACGAAATGCAAATAAGCATTTGGAGATGATCCTTCAAACTTGCCGTGTACCAAGGCTCTTTTATCTCTGACGGTTACCCGTAGCAACCGCACTCCTGTTTGGCGCCGAGCACGAGGGGGCGACCACTTCTTTTTGAAGTGTACACATGATTCTCAGAATGCGTCCACTTTCATTATCACCACACGGTTCCTAGTGTAGCATAAAATGCTTATTTCGATTAATTGGACTTCATTTCTTGGTGTTTCCCGCTTTGTCCTCCAAGCTCGGCAGGGCTCGACGGAGGTGGTTTACAGCCTATTAGAGAACTTGCGACGCGAGGCTTGCGTGGCGTAGTGTGTGGCTCCCGCTGCAGCCGGCGAGCGCTCGCAGGCACACGGGGACGGGACACCGCTGGGATGAGGTGAACCCATGTGAAAACAATCCGGATAGTCTCCCGGGGCTCGGCGGGGAGCCGCCGCCGTCGGCACAACCGCAAGCCAGCCAACGCCTCTCAAAATTCACGCGCTCCGCTCCGCTGCTGGACTTTCTAATTAATTAGCTCTTTTCTCCCCCATCCCCTACCCTCTCCTGCTCCCCAGCTCCAACCCCTTCGCCTCCCCGGCCCGGCTCCGGGAACCGCGGCGCGCGCATCCGTTCCGCAGACCGAAAACCCCCTGCATTCTTCCACTCCAGCGGTTTCTCCCCCCC